GACATTTTTGCACTTTTCATAAATAGCTCTTTGTGTGGAAGTTCAAGTGATGCATTTAAAGCAATACCCAACAAGTGTAGAATCTTCTACATTCAACCTTAGCCCCAACTTCTGCTTGGCCTGCAAGGTCCCCTACTGGACCTCTTTTCTATCAGCTCTCTCCCTTCCTTCCTTCCATTACCCTGATCATTGCTATTTACAGAACAGTCTTTCAAGCTCTTGCCTCAGAGCCTCTGGACTTGCTATGCCCTGGGACAGTCTCCAATGAATATTTGTGTGTGTTTTTTGCTAACTTCATATGAATCTCTACTTAAATATCATCTGTCTAAAAGAGTCATCCACATTCAAGTCCCACCTTATTATTATCCCCCCTAGTATTTTTCAGCTTCTATAAAGTAGATAGATAGACAATATATACATATACTTAAGGTTAAAGTCAAATACTATCACATATATTTTGTATTCTTTTATATGGTGTGTGTGTGTGTGTATGTGTGTGTGTCAGATAATTCTTCCTGAGTATTATGAAAGATCAGAGAAGGTGGACTCAAGGTTTTTGTTGCTCAATAAAGGTGGCAATTGAAAAAAATATATATTGAATTTTTTAATTTATTCATATATTTAAGTGAGAAAATACCCAAGTAACCTTTTTCCTTAGATAATGCTTCATACTATTTTTCTTGCTAGATGACTAATCTTTTGCAAATAAGCCTTCTAAAATTTGCAACTGGTATTTTGAAGGACTCCCTTACTATTAATATTCAACTATATTGTGCTTTACAACAGCCCATTGTACTTTTAAAGATCCTGTGTTTTAACATACTTAATCTTAATGTGTTATAAAATAGCTGGAATGTAATAGATGCCTCTAATTGAATTTTTCAAGACTGCTTGAATCAGTCAAATCTCAAGAGACTATCCTTTCACGCACAAGTGAAATTGGGTTGTGTGTTGTTTAGTGGAGTTAAGTATTTGGTGGTCTTAGTCAATTATGATTGCTAATTATAAATACGCTTTTAGGCTCTGGATTCATTTCTTTGAAATAGTTCTTTTTCAGTATATCTTGGCTCATGAGTGCTATTGAATTTGATTATTTGAATGTTCACTAAAATTATTTGATCTATTTAAATTTAAATTATTGAAAAGTTATTAATGCCCGAGGACTTTCCCTGGGTGGATCTCATGATTATTATTGGCCATGGGGCTGCTGTGTGCACTTGCTCACTTCTTGAACGAAAGTAGCTGTTAAGATTTGCCTACACTTTGGGTGCATGGCAGCCAGAACCTGTATTTCTTTTGTTGCCCACTCTTCAGATAAAGAGTCATTGTAACAAAGACAAGGACAAAAAACCTGATCTAACTTAGTTGACAAATTATGGGGGAATAGAGTGAGTGGGTTGCTATATTGGCATGAGACTAACTTGCATTGTTAGGAAATAGTTTATATCTCATGTGAGAGTGGAGAAAATCTTGTCAAGGGAAATTGTGTGGCTTTAAAAAAAAAAATTAGCCACAAGTTCTCACTTATTAAGAAGTGACATCTATGTCCTCCACCATCTCCTTTCTCCATCAGACCTTGAAGTTGAAAGATTCATGCCTGCTTTTACAATGAAATGATCTATTGTGATTCCAGGGCTTGGTAATAAAAGACTGTGAAGAACATGCCATTTTGTTAAAAAGCACCCTTAACTCCAAGCCACAATCTATGCCAGTGCCTATGTCATGTGGACAGGTTAGTTGCAGGCATTCTGATAGAATCCCAGCTGAACCCATGCCTTTTTTCATGACATGTTTGTGGTGTTAGATAATGTGTATTTCATATCGTTGGGGCTTGGATTTTTCTGGCAGCAACATTCTCAGCCAAGCACCATGATTCTTTCTTGAAAACTGTGGGCAAGTGTCAATTAACATTTTCCCTCGGGTAAGCTTTACCTATATTGGCTGTGACTTTTCACGGATCTCTACTGAATGTGAAAATCTCATAAATTTCTGAAAAGAGGCTACTGTCTGACTGTTCCACACCTGAAAGCTCCGTCATGCAGTTTGATTCTTGGGAATTCTGAATTTAGATGTCCTTTATTTTCTGCATAGTCTCTTGTGTTTGGTTTTCTTACAAGTAGAAACTTAATACTAGTAGCAGACTCTAGGGAACATATAGATATTTTTTTAGAGTACTTTCATCACCTAACTTCTTCTGCAGAATTACTCTGCCTGTTGAACTGTGGTGGCCTCAGCTTCTCCTGACTCCTATCTCTCCTCTATTCAGCAAGATCACCCCATCTTCTTGGGTTTCCTTCCCTGCACAATGAGCTGGAAAATGCTTGCAGGCAGAAAATGAGGGCAATGATGGAGCTTACTTCACCTGCCTACCTTCTTTCAGGGATCATGGTCTATTTTTGCCCCAATATTTGAATAGACATTGTTTCACATTATTTGTCAAGTTATCCAGTTATTTACAGTAGGTGGAGTAGGAGCTCAAAGCAGAAATTGGCTATGTGAATTGTATTATCTGTACTGCAGGCTTTAGTTTATTCACCAAGGGGGTATCTCCCCTAAATAAATTAAAATCAAATGAAATGAAAATCACAGTAATGTCAGAATTCTAGAAAGTGCTACTATACATTTTATTCTTCTCAAATAGTGTGGGTAACACAAGTGAAAGCTAATGAGTTATATATTATTGCTGCAACACTTAACTATTCCAATAATTTCAGAAATATAACATTTTAAATTACTAGATAGAACTTAAAGTGTCATAAGCTATTGCAATGTCCTTCCGATTTCCAGTGATTTCAGAAATTTGACATTTTTATATTTTATGATACAAATATGAAATTGAACTCTAAAATTCCAAATACTTACAAAAATGTGTATTTACTATACAATTGAAATTGAAATTTAAGATTACACAATGCCACTTGGTCTTCAAAGGAAGGAAGATACGACCAAAGAAGTGATGTGAAAAATCAAGTAAGTGAGGTGAAGAGTTGACTTTTTTTAAAATTAAGAGACAATTTCAAACCACCTCAGTGGTCTTTCCTTATCATAAAAATAACATTTCACATTTACAATTAAATGTGTGTGTTGTTCATATTGTGTTGTACCTTTCGTGAGGCAAAACCTATCGCATTTGCACTGTACAGTTGGAAACCTTGACAAAATACTGTTGAATACAAATATTAATGGAAGTGTCAACCTACATAGTCCTTTTTTATATTATGTTTGCTACAAAACACCCTCAGTCATATTGTCTATGTGTATGAAAAGGCTGATGAATTCTATATTTAAACTTAAATTGAGTTTCAAAGGTAAACATACACTTTGCTGAATACAGTTACCAGTTCTCACAAGCAATGCTCTTGTTTTCTCTGGACTGCCTTCAACAAGTTTGATTTTTTTCCCCCTCTCATTTCCAAAGCTGGATTTTTGCAGCTTACTTACAGTTTATTGAGTTAACAATCACAGGTACTCAAAATGGAAGACTCCGAGTCAAGCTCTGAGTAACAGCTAGAAAAAACAAAGAGAAAGAATGCAACAGGCCCTTTGAAAAAGCAGAGTACCCAGTGAGGAATTCTTCTAGAAATAAAGCGCTCTTAGTCTGAAAAGATATGGAAGCACTTGACTCAAGAGAAGTACTTTCCACAAAAAATTCTGTATCCAGTTATGGGTCCGTGGTGGGAAATGCAGACTGCTCTCTCTCCACCAGAATAGTGTTTGAGTGTTTTAAACTTAACCACGCAAGTGTTACTGCCTCTTTGTCAGCATGACGGGAAGGGTATAATAAAGGCAGTTGCACCTTTTAAATGTAACTGTTGCTTTCTCCTTTAAGTCATTAGCTCTCTTTCTTCTAAGGAGTAGATTCCAAAGTTTAAATGTGATGATAATGATGTGATGAGACAGATATAGGCAAAACAAACAAAAAGAAGAAGAAGAAGAAAATTGCTGTGGATTCAAAGAAATGGGAAGACTGATAGGAAATTTGAGATGATGATGGCATTAGCGTTAAAAAATGTTTTTAATGTGTGGCTTTCAGCAAAACTATGTGCAAAAATAATAGTGAAACATGAGTCTCTTATCTGCTAGAGTGAGGACATTCCGTTAGAGACTTAGCGCAAAGACTTTTTCTTATCTAATAAAGAAAAGGTCTCCCTTTCCAACCACCAGCCGGTCTTCCATACAAGTTCTGACTATATAGTCATTAGTACAATTATTATTGCTACTAGAGGACTTTATTTATTTTGCGTGTTTGTTTTGCTCTGCTCTGCCTCTGTCCTTGCTCGGGGTGAAGGATTTCCAGGTGTGAGTGACTCCCAACCAGAGGCGACCTAGTGGTGTCAGGAAGAGCAGAGCACATTCTGGACCCGGTCTGGCTTCCAGCCTTGGCTGTGACATCCACCAGCTGTGTGATCCTGGGTACAGCGCTTCACCTCTCTGTGCCTCCGTTTCCCGTCTGTTAAAAAAAAAAGTCTCGTAAACGCGACGGCCCCCGCTGACTGTCTTCACCTGCGGGCGACTAGCGGCGGGCTCAGGTTTTCAGCTGTCCGTGCAGGGCGTGGCGCGGCCGCGGGCGCACAGCAGCGGGCGGCCGTGCCTCCCCAGCCGCGTCTGTCATTCGGCGCCCGCTCCCGCGTCGCCAGGGTTCCTCCTGAAGATGCCTCTGCAAACTCGCTCTGGAGCATCTTGCCCCGGGGGCGGGCTGGGCGCGGCGGCG